TCCCCTCTCCTGGTGACAGGGAGTTTGTTGGGGGATGGCAAAAAGCGATAGCTGTCGAGGGATCATGGGATAAGGGACGTAAAAAGAGCAGTACCTGTAGCGTAACTATGAACAACAGTAAGGCATTTACAGATGAAGTCTTATAGAATTGCTGGTACAGCAACAGTAGGTAGTATTTGGTACTAACAAATTATACAGGTGATGGCGCAAGGGATGAGAAAGATTGACCTGCTGTCCACGGCACAGACATCATGAGAATGACTGCGCTTCATAAGGCTAACCGTGCAACCATGGCACGTCATACGTACGGAAATCGCCACCGGAAGGGTCACTCTTGGTTCGTGGAGAGAGGGGTCGTGTTTGGTCTGAGGAAAAACTTTTTTGATTCTTTTCCTTGTTTGACGGTCGCTATCACATCGCTATGCGAATTCCTTTGGGGAAGGGAGGTCGCGGTCTTCAGAGGAAATTTGCCGCGTTGTCCGGTTGTAAGCTTTTCGCGGTCTTTCCCGTTTCTCTGCTGTTAGGTGTTGGCAAGAAAAGCAAGACATTAGGCAAAATGGAGGGGGGGGTGGGGTCGTAGCAGAGGAAGACATTGGGGGCAGGGTCGTAATTCCCAAAAATCCCTAGCGGCAGGACGTGCTCTGCGTCAATGCGCACGGCGTACTCGTGGCTAAACTTGCTTGTCATTCCCTCTCCTTTACTCGCCTTATTCCAGATTCTACATATCTTCTCACATACCTGCTGATAAGGGCAGTCAGCGTTGTTCCGGCAGAGTTGATCTCGACGTGGGTCCTTTACTTGCGAAGGACGGCAGCGAAAAACCTTTAAGGCTATTTGTTCAATTTACTTACCTCTCTCTGTAATCAAAAAAAAGTCAGTAGGCTTGTACCTTCTCTTCTCCTCGATTGATTTTCACACACTTTTCCCCTCCAGAACACTCGTAATCATATGTACATGGTGCTGTTCCTAGTGCCGCTTCCATGGATGCCATGCACACAAAAATGCTGCTTTCGTTTCGAAGGCATTGCTGCAAGCACAGTTCAGCTACAAAGAACTAAAACGTGGTAGTTGGCTCCGAATGCTAACCTGGTCCTTGTAGGCAATCGGCATGATATATACACTGTCGATTGGTTTTGGTCACGTCATACTGGCAAACCGTGATAAGTTGATCCACCAAAGCAATCGTTCCCGAACAGCTCTCTCCCATACGACACTGATACAGGAAGATTTAGATGGCACAGTGGAATGCTGCTTCATTTCAATTCATTTTTGTGGGCAGGGAGGGACCATTTGGACAGTTGTGACCTCATCCATAAACATTTCCTTTTGAAGCCATATTGCACTCACTCCTAATGCAGCCCTTGCCATGGCGAGGCGGATGGGTCTTCAGCTGCGGTAGCGTGCCATTTTCTGCACTCGAAATGCATGGGAACGGGACTGTAGGGTAGCAGTACCCTAGACTCGTTTCCATATTCGGCCCTATCTATCCTCAAAGCGCAGCACTTGCGTCGATACCAAGGTTCCGTAGCGAAACACCCACTCAGCTCCAGAGAACAACCAGAAGTGAGAGGGCGCAGGCAAGTAGCGCGATTGGCTACGGCTGGCATGTCGCTTACCGTGCGGCAGCTCTGCCGGAGTATAACCAGGAAACCGGGTATCACCACACTTCAGTCCCTCTTCCGTGCATTTTCGAACGGAGAAAGTGCACGCTACAGTAGCTATGGCATCCACACAGTGAGAGCAGAAAAAACCAAGTGATCAGCGCGAAATGTTCCTCCAAGAGAGATACTGCAATGCCTCATGGACTGTACGCTTACTAAGGAATGTTACCCGTAGCGAGGTGGACTGATTCGCACGGGGGAGGTGCCATTTTCGCCACTTAGAAGGGTGTGGCAGTGAATCTGAAAGGGTGTGGCAGATGCATTCTTTTAAGGGATCTGTCTGAAAGCAATGTGCGTCTCGCAGTCCCTTGTCCTGCGCCTAGCTATGACCAAAAGCCCCTGACGTCTACTTTAAGTTCTATTGAAGTCTGAAATGTACCTGGTAATCAAATTGGCATGGCAAAGCTGCAGGATCTATGAGTTCATGTTTCGGAATGATTTGAGGACCTCTCATCTCAGAATACTTCGTCTCCATCACTTTCACTTCTTTGGCAGAGTTTGTTTCACTCGAACTGAAATAACCTCTTGTTGAAGAAATAGATTCAAGTTTTAGAGTTCGACGCATTTCAAATGTGTGTTTTCTGTAAGTCCTTCCAAGATAGTTTTCTGAAGAGCTGCTACTGTAATAAAACATGAATAGAGCAAGAGAGTCAATAACTCAAGTTCTCGGTTGCTCCGCGCACTCTACACCAAAATTCTCTGAGATGCGGTAGGCGTGGCTGCTTATTTTGCTTGAACGAGGCGGCGGTCAGAATTTTCGTGGGATCTTCTCATTTTGGGACACTTGTAGTCACGTCTTTGTCCAACACAGAAAGATGACAGCCGTTCAAACTGAAGTTCGTACGAGTAACCCATCCTACACCATTTTCAGAATGCCACGCTTAGCCCGTCGCATGGATAAGGAGCCGTTTGTTAAGCTCATACATCAAAGTAACGGTATACGCCAAAACTGAGTTATGCTTTGGTGTAGGAAGAATTTCTGCTAAACGCGACCGCCCTCACTAATCCTACCGATAGCCTCAAAGTAGCGCAGAGATGACGGTCTCGACCGTCCGAGAAGCTCTGTCAAGCTACGCGTGGTTATTAGATGTGAAGGAAAGAACCCGCTAATCATGGGTCCAAACATAACCTTGTGAATGAATTCCCGTAGCGGCATTCATCGATGGAACCGTTGGCCAGATTCGCTGCCAGAAAGTCAGTTTCTAATTAAAGGCCAGTTGGCACGATAGTTCCCCACTTAGCCCAAAATGCTGGGGAGTAGCGCCGTGCCTGTATAGTGGGGAAGGGCGTGAAAGAACGGAGTTGAATGCGCGTTCAAGAATCCTGCAAAAAAAAGAGCCTCCGTTTTCCACTGTGTTAATAGTCAATTTTGGACGAGTTTCCCATAGGCATCTTACCAATCACCGCTACCGAAGATACGGCTGCATATGTGTACCCATGTATGCATGCAGCATCACGGCCGCTTCATACCAATCCCTTCGCTTCATAATTTGCTTAGCAAATGAATGAATACGAGCGTCAGGAACGGTCGTCCATTTGTGGGCGGGCGGGCGTGGCGGGCGTTTGGGACGTAAAGTTGTGGCTTGATAGGGCCCTTATAAGGGCACCTTCCTCGGGGAAACCGCTATGCAGCGCCTGCCCAGGGTCGCGGAATTCTATCCTGCCAGGAGTATTGATCCTAGTCGTCTTGGGGGATTTATCGTGCCAACTGCCTTTAAACAACGGCCCAGGACATTCGGATCTTCAAAAACGCGCGACGCTTCTTTAGCTCGCGATCCAAAGACCGCCACGATGCAAGCTTAGAAGACAAGTATATGAGGACGTCTTTCGATTTGACCGGCGACAAAAAAGCACCGTCCCCCACACTGTTCAGAAAAGTTGAAGAAACTGAATATTCTATGGATTATATGTAGTTCCCAAGGGCCAGGACATTTCCCTACTTGTTCCTTCTGCAGTACAATGAATGCAATGAGTGAATCAGAGTTTTGCTCCGAGCACATCTGAATAGTTTCGGAGGTGACAATTTTCTGGAGCAGCAGGATATGAGAGGCAAGCTGGAGCGATGCCCATGAAAAGGGACTGTATCAGCAGGGTGCAGATGCGAAGCAATCGGTGCCAGTTTCATACTTGTAAGCAACTTTCAACAACTTATAGGTATCTCACTTCGTTTCTTGTTGTGGAGAAGATGAGGTATTTGAGAGTAAATCGGTGTCGCGTATCTGCCATGACATAGGTGGTAACATCGTTGGTGAGCGGTGATTCTCTGGAAGCAAATCAGTTCAGCACCAAGATCAAGAAGCTTTCCATGTTAACCAGTTCGTCCGAGCGCATTCAACACTTTTGAGGTTGATGACCGTTCTGCAACCGATTCAGCCATGCCATTTGCAACTTAATGTAATGTCGGTGCTTTGGGAGCCCAGTTATCCCCAAAGGCCAATTTTCAGGTTTCGTTCAACGAGAAGCAGGTGACATGTTTCCCTTCTCGCGCTCAAATATTTCGAGGCGCAGAAATTGCCCACATTTCAGCATGGAAGCATCTAAAACAAGTGAAGTAATGGCGTGATTAATCAGACCATACTGCATACTGCGTGAGCCACGCCCTCATCGGCAGCTATCGTCTAGCTAGCTGCGATGAAGCGGCGCGTGTCACGGCATGTATTGTGTGGCTGCTTACGGCGCCAAACCATTCGCGCCCAGTATGTTAAGCGGGTATTGCGGCTACAGCGTGTTAGAAAACGAGTGGTGCGAGCCGCGAAAATATCCACTGCTCGTCTCAATAATCGTGTAGAACGTTGGCACCGACCAAACTCCTGCCTGACACTTCCCTCGAAACGAATTACACTATACAGGGGGGCCAAAAAAAGTCACTTTCCTTCATTGACTTTCGAGGCGCTATAAGTTACACTTTATTGAATTCTGATCGGACATTTCTACCACCATATTAAAGAGCATATTAAATACTATCATGACACTCCGCCACAGCCTTCTGGACGAGCGCCATCGAGATTCTGGCACGCGACCGCGATGTGGTGCCTGAGATCAGCGAGATAGTCGATTTCTCTGCCACCGTAGACCACCCTATTGAACTCCGCCAAACGCCTAATTGAAGGGAATTCAGTGAGATACCTACTTGGATATTCATCTTTTTTTAGGTATTCAGCCCCCTTCCATTCCAAGTAGGCGAGAGTTTCTCCAATGCCCTTCGATTCCATGTGGTGGCACCCAAATGCTGTAGCAGTACAAAGTTTCCAAGAAGGTACGGGCGACGACATGTGAGGAGGATATTCTTCACGAGTTGCTCGATGTAACCGCCAGCGCTCACCTTCAGTCCGGGGTCCACGAAGAAAATATTGGTCTTTCCATTCCAGGTACGTCCGGTCCATACCATCAACCCGCGCCTTGGCGACTGTGGTGAAGATGATGTCCTAGACCGTGGCGACGTTGTCGGAGCTGCTCGATGATGGAGGTCTTCCAGATCGAGAGTACTGGTCTCCAGGTAGCTATCCATGGGTGACTCCATACTAGAAGTTTCGCAGCTGTTTGGAGGTGACATGAATTCCAAAGGTCTTCTCCAGTCAGGCTGCGACTGGAGATGACTTCATATTTTGGTGTACATGGAGGGTGATGAGGAACAACTTGGGTATCTTCGGTACTCCTGCCAGCTCCTGCTTATAGAGGAACATCTTGGGTATCTTCCGCCCTGGTACTCGTATCCACGTCCTCTGTCTGGGCAGCGAAAACTTTGCTGATATGTGACTCGGTCGAAGTGACTTTTTTGGCCCCCTGTATATTCAGTCAGCCCAGTTCAATTATCATACTGAAGCATCTCCAACCCTTACCATTGGAGAGGAACCCCGCGACTTGATATAGTGGGTGCGGGAGTTCACTAACGAGTGTGTAGTCGCTAAGCCACTTTCTAGGGAAAAAAGCGTAAGAATCGTCGGAGACACGCAAAGTAAAGACCCTACTGGCAGCCTCACTGTACGAGTTCCTCGCACCTGCTCGCTGTATTGCAGCAAAGCAATATCCTGCCTTCTCAGGCTCACTAATCGTGTCACCTAGAGGAAATACTGTTCAATAGTGAAACAAAAAAGAACAAATAAGAACAAGATCTAGGACGGAACTCGTGACGGGAAATAGTCTTCGAATGCGTTTTGTGCAAAATTGGATTGTGTGGAACGTTATCCGAGAAAACCTTGCACCTGCACTTACATCAGCAGTGAATCTAACTCGTCTTATCTAGCAAAGTAGACTGCTTTTGACTGCATGTGAAAAACGAAATGAAAAAGAGCAGAATTTCTCATGAGCACGAGCACAATCAGCTAAAGTGGACGCGCAATCAAGAGTTATGCCCACCGCTCCATCAAACAACAACTGAGCGTCCCGGCGTTAACAGAGAAGAAGACACTTGCAGGTAGGCGGTCCAGCTGAGCGGGTGTCAGAACTGGGACTTTCAGCGGCTCCTCATTAACTGTGAAGTCGCGAAAATGGGACAACGTCTTAATATGCGGGCTCGACTACTTGTACGAGGGAGGCATACCGTGAATTGCTTTTGTGCGGGTCTATTTTTAATCGAGCGCAAATAAACTGCTCGCAAGGGAATCAGCCCTAATCAACTGAAACTAACAGCAACCACATAAGAATGCAACAGCTGAGGTAATTGTCTTACTGCTGCCGCTATCTACCACATTGCTTCCATGAGGGGAAGGGAGGAGGGGCCGGTGAGAGCGGCGCCGGGCCGCGGTGCGGGGGGGGGGCTGCTCAGCGGGCCTTCGCACTCGTCTTGCTGCATGACGAAATCAATGCATAGTCAACTTGGCATGAGAGCCTCTTTGCGTGATGTCGCAGCTCTGGTGATGAAGGCGCTCTACAACAATTTGTGAGCAAAGCCTTGTGACCAAACAAAGTACTCCTAATACCTGAGCAATCTATTTCCAGCCTAGAACAACGACTTGTTGGCGTGGTAGCAGAGGTCATTCGGAAAACAGGAGTGTCGCCACAGTTCCATTTTTTTTTGCAAAACTCTTACTATTTTTTTATCTCACTCTTTAAATTCTCCAGCGTCAAAAGTGTCTTTTCTCATACCCTATGTCTGTGGACAAAAGCCACATCTTCCTCTGAGAATTGCACATTTCGCATAACGTTGACACTGAATGGAAAATGTTTGAAACCCACGTAGTCAAGTTGCTTTACCCTGAAATCAAAAAAACAGAGATGGGCTAGGAGTCTAGCTCAACGGTAGCGCTGAGGGAGGTCTCCGAATAGGGACGCGTGCTGCCTTCTCAATACCTTTGGTTGTACTAGAAACAGGGTACAGCATGGGGATGTGCGAAATGGCGATGCGAGTACGTCCCCCCCCCTCGAAGAGGGTCCAGTTACGACCCCTCCCCCACCTTCTGCTCTGACAACCCGATGCATGTTCACACACGAAATGGCTTCCTGAAATGGAATCTGGATTTTCGAAAGGCGCGACTCATTTTTTACCTCTAAAATCCAGGCAATACAGAGGCTGTTTCGCTCATGCAATATGAGGCTGAACAACAGCCTCGCACTGTCTACAATTTTGTCTTAGGTTTTAAAATAAAACTCGTCGTTCGACAGCCATGTATGACATGCAACTTAACAAGGAACACAACGAAAAACAGCACTAATTGGTGATTCATTGAAGCTAAATTTCGCTGAGAAAAAGGCCCAAGGTCAGTGCCGTCAGGCCCTAGATGCCTGCATTTTATGAATGGTGACGGAACCAACGGAACCATGCACGACACAACAAAGCGAAACAATGAAAACCCAAAAAATGTCGGAACCAAATTGAAAATGGAATAAAACGGCGCACTATATCGTTTCTATTACTCTATTATCGTTCTCAACGTTGCGACCGCTTTCATTGGAAACGTCATTTGCGAGCGCGGGTTGCGGCTACAACGTCCTGGGGTCTTTTTGGAGGGGTATATCTCTTTGAGGGGCGCGGCTTTTGATGAATGGTTAGCAGCATGCAACGGGAATGTTCCTACTGTTGCGTTTTCTACCCAGTTGCAATCTGAATGTTTCCCCGTTCGTGAAATATTTCGGATGGGTTTCGGATCGGCTAGGGGTAAATGGCAAGCGGGTTTTTATGCTTCACACGAGGATTACTTATTTCGAACGCAATTTCATCGGAACTAAAACCGTCTTTAGAGCGCCCCATATTTTCTCTTTCCAACAACTTCACACTTTTCCTGAAAACTCGCTAGATTCAGGAGATATTTCAG